TCACAGTTACTCAATGTAAATATGTTAGCTCATAGTAGAGCTGGCTTTTCCATAGTGCGAAAACGTACAAACACTTTGTTCTACGAAATTCATATTTATTTTACTTAATGCGTATCATCTTTTAGAAGAGCAGAAATAAATATTCTCGTGTTCATGTTATATTGACATGGGTATAAAAATAGCCTTTTAGAGCACAAGTGAAAGCTTCGTTAAAAATACATGCTGCTTCAAATATATGCCTATCATTTATTTTTTACTTTTTTTTTGTTGCTTATAAGTAGAGAAACTTGTCGAAGAAGGCATTAAACTAAGTAGTCAAATAAAAAAATTGGGACTGAAAGTGTGTGTCCATTTAATAACTTGAACAAGGTTGAACAACTTTATTTGTTTTCATTTTCTTTGATTTTTTTTCGTCGATCTTGTGTTCCGTACTGAGTACCAATGCTACTGACGCCAGGAAGGCAGCTCCCACACCTGGACCCAACCTATCGACCTATCAACTCATAGACCTGGGACCAACGGCTTTACTTCCCTCAGAGAATCCCGGCGGTGCCTTATTTGTTTACTGTCATTTCAAATGTTCTTCCATAAACACCAACTTGTGGTGTTTCTTCTTCTTCTAGATCAATTCATTTGACAAGCAAAATAAAAGCAAACCAAGCCCGAAAGACGATTTGATACTCTTGCAAAATTGTCGTGTCCTTTTGCATTATTATTCGTACTCACGATGTTATGGGAATACGAATGTTTCGTTCAGTTTGCAATCCTTAAATTGTTTAGATATTTTATATTCTAAAAACGAAATAGATCCAGTAACTGGTTTCGTAGTGCTCACGAATGAACGAGTGATTTTCGTAGGAAGTGTTAACGTTTACTTCTTGTAGTGTAGTTTCGAAATTGAACCAGGCGATACGAAACACTTGTTTACGAAATGCGCGTGTGACGAAAACATATTGTTAGTAATTATTGCGTGAAACCAAACAACGCGATTAGTTGTATGCAGTCTGTTTGAAATTAGTCAATGATTAATGATTAATGATTAACCATAAGTATTTAGCATGAATTTTACGATATTTCTAATCAATCTTTAGGTTCAATGATTCACAATGAATATCTTAAAAGTTCATATATATAAGTTTTGATTCATCATTAATCATTAATCACTTAACGCTCTGGTTATATAGTTGTTGAAATGAATGCCAAACAAAATTATATTGAAGTTGAAGTGGTGTTCGAACTGGCCAAAGCTTCATTTTTTAATCAAATCTTAAGATCTCTGGCTATCGGGAAGCCCCTAACACACTACCTCTGAGTTGTTTACTATCGTACATTTTCGCCAACGAAATTTTTTGAGCAATCACACAATCTTGACGCATTCCTCGCCACTTATATGGCGTTTCGTTCTTCGAAAATAATTCGGAAAACCATTGTTCAACGACATTAGCACCAGTGACAATGAATGGCGCGTTCAAATATAATTTATTCATAACGCTTCACGGTCGGGCAAATTATCGACTTTTGATCTGGTCGTCAACTCATACGCTGCTGTTGCTACTTTTCCTCATTTCCCCTTCCAAATTGTTTGCTCAGTCTTTCGTTTTCCGTCAATTTTATTGGATTATCGAAAAGAATGACGATTTTGTCATAAAAAGAGTGTTCTACCACGACAACACCAAGCAAGAGCTGCCTTTATTATGCCGGAAAGTGATGCTGGCGAATTAGGAACAAAAGGGGACGGAGTTGAGCATGGGGGAAAGCTTGTTAAGTTTAGATTATGTTCCAAACAAGATTGACGAATTATGAATGATTAGCGAATCGTGCCTTGATTATGGATGTGTTGAATATGGTGTGGGTTTAGGTAGGGCTGGCTCTTTTTCCGCAGGCATTGATTGGATCATTTATATTCGGTATATTATTTGTTTATAGGCACCCTAGTCAGTCAAGACATGTTTTTATTAAGGGGTTTCGATTCCCGGTCCTATCTATACAATTATTCGGGATGAACATTTTCTCGACTTTCCTGTACACACAATATTCAAATTTATGCTTTAGTTGTAATTGAAAGCAAGAAGCACCGAACACCAGGAAGAAGTATTTATTAATATTCAATTACAACTTGGTATGACTTTCAAAGAATGAATCTTCCAGCCTAAAATTAAAACTGAACACATTTTGACAAGATATTATTCAAATTAATCCCTCAACAAGTCATCCATCACCTCGGCTCGGAATTGTCTCCGGGCCATCCAATTAAAACCTCTTTAACCTACATTTTGAACTCGTGAAGCATCATCCTTTTCTTGCATTCCACTCGAAGTGATAAATGTGCGATGTACTCACAAATGCACATTACCTTTTTCATTCTCTCACACCGCACTGCACTGCGAGCTCAACATCCACACTCCGATCAAAACCCAAGCCAATATACACAAAGCATTCCTTCGTGCATTTCTGTTTACGGCTCACGTGGCCCAATTTGGGAAGAGGTCGTACCATACCGGCCGAGGCGAAGATCTCGCTGCTGCAACTAGTGATTTACATCTTTTACCTGCAGCAGTCATTGCATCGATCTGATGGGGGAATATTTATTTTCGTAAGCCTCGCAACATCCCTCGCCCCACCCCCGGCTGTTTCGGGAGTTCGAATCCGAAAAAAAACGTAATAATTTAACAGCTCTCGGTGCACTATTGTAGAGAGGTTAACTTACACGCGCGGCACAGCCGAGAAACAAAAAGGGCGAAACGTGTTTGCTTTAACGCTTTCTTCATCCCGAAAACGTCGGCCAAGAGCAGAAGAAGACGTGATCCCTTGCTCATGCGAACTAAAGTCACTATTTTTTATAGTCTGGCGGATACAAAATCCTGCAAACTGGCAACTTTGATTTCTTCAATAACAATCTGATACCCCGTGAAAATGGTCAAGCAGAACGTTTTCATGTTTATTTTCATCTGTTCAGTATCAATATCAGTACATAAAATTATCGCCGGAATGGGAGGAAATATGTTAAAAGAATATCGATTAACTTCCACTTTCCAACGCATACCAGCAAAGCTAAAATTCCTAAAGTTTTTTTTTATTTGTCATCTAAGCATTAGCCGCATCGATGTTCTCCATGAAAAACGTAAAAATAGCATTCAGAAACGCATTGATAAATTACCACCTGAATTGATTTAATTTTTGTTCGATTAAATTAGCGTCACGACCAAAATTGATCTTAAAAGCAGCAGTCATGCTCGATTGGCTCCCGCAAGTGCCAGATCGAATTAGCTCCGGTCATTGTTTCCGCCAGACTATGAATATAGTGACTATAATGCGAACTGGCGTATTAATGCATTCTCGTTTGCTTTTGTTTGGGAAGATTTATTCGTGTGCGCTCCCTTTTTTGAGCGTCTTTTTTCGAAATCAATGTTTGTTTATTTGCTTCACCTCCAGCGAGGCGATTTTCATGAATATGTGCATCGTTATTATTAATATTATTATTATTATTATTATTGATGTGATGAGGAATAGCTTTGCTGGCAGTATATTTACTGCGATACACACTGTTTTGATGCTATGTGGAGCTGTATCATTACAAATCAATTGCCTACAACTGACAAAGAACTCAGCAAAATCGTGTCTGATTGTTTGAATTTATATATTTTTTCTTTAAATAAATAAGCGGAATTCTTACACTACTGTTTGGGTTGGGACTAGTTTTCAAAACTTAATTGCCACAGTCGCGTCAACAGCTTTGCTGAGGCAGTTCTTAAAGGGTCAGGCCTTTGAAGAAGTTCCCAACACATTGCGTCAACCTTGAAAACGCTCTAGATATAGACAGGAGCATCTTTTGAATATGCTGTTGTGGAAGGTCACGAAGGCACCGCACAACTTTCATTCAGTTTGGCGTAGTTGTTCAGCAGCTAGCAGATCATTTAGATGCTACCAATCTTTACAATCTTCTAATAAGGGAGGTGGGGTAAAATGAACATGTCACGTAATCACGACAAAAATATTCCAATTAATGTGCTTCATTTACTATTCAATCTAAGGGATTCGAACCCAGAAATTTTCTCACACTCACGCAGTGTTGGAAAAGTTCGCGATATTTCTCGAAGTTCACTAAGGGAAAAGTTCCCGAGTCATAGTGAGTTTTTGCGAACTTTTCCATCACTGCACTCACGTCTCTTACCGATAATATGTGTTCACCTATCAGTATCTTCTAATTTTGTCATAAAAAAATAAAATTGTGAAGAGCACTCAAAGCTCCACTCAACACCACCAGTATTTGGCACTGATGAAGTCTGCAAGTAGTAGACGAAATACGCGTATCTGTCAAAAGAAAAGCAATTATAACAGAATTAAAAGGAAATAAACGAACACACTCAAAGCTCTTCATAAAGAAATTCCGTTAAGAGGTTCGACAAATTTAAAAGATTAATTAATATTGACTGAAAAGTCTTAAACTGTCATTAAAAAAAATATTTAAATTCAGTTCCAAATTTGCAGTCATCCTATAAGAAGCATATTTTAAACTGCTTGTATTTGTTTTTTTTTTATGGTTTTCATGGTTTGTAGACAGAGGGCGCAATAGGTTTTAATATTTTTCTTTAAAATTTGTGGCAACGATGTGTTTTTTTTTTCTTCGTTTATATAATATATAATATATTGCACTGCTGTTTTAATCATTGTCGGTATGGTGTTGCACCTTTGCTCCTGTCCTTGTTTGTTGCTGGAATTATCGATACATCCGAACCGGTATCGATAAGAAATCTCATGTTGGATGAACGATCGTAAGACAGAATACAGCGGCTTTTCGGGGCTGCGTTCACTATCGCTGTTTAGAACGAACGAGATTTTAGTTTTTGGGATTGTACTTACAGGGCTCACGGCATTTCAAATCACGCCCCCCAACTTCCGGTGGAACCAGCATATATCGTCGTCTGTCATTCGGCTTGATCTCGATGTGGATCGACTGTTGGAAGTACCTCTCGACGATTTGAGGTTAGGTATTTCTGCTGTCAATGCCGCAATTTGGCTTTGAAGCTCGGCGACGGCATCTGTTCCGGAGGAGCTGGTGGAGGCTGCGGCGACGTGTGACGATGGAGACTCAAGCATTTTGTCTGCCATCTCGGCGAGTTCCCGATGGCACCATCACTGATAGCGAGAACGGCTTTGACACTCGGTGGCATCCGCTGGAGGAACAGCATGTTCAGCAAATCATCCGTAGCATTCAGGCCCGCAGCAAGTTCCTGCATTTTCGCCAGAGGATGTGTAGGACGCATGTCTCCGAGGTCGCAAGCGCCCAAAAGTCGCTCCAATCTTCCTTGCGCTGACACTTGGAATCGGGAAATCAAACGCTGCTTGATGGTTTCATATTTGTTTTCCTCCGGCGGGGTCGTGACCAAGTCCGCTACATGACACATGGCAGACTGGTCAATTCTCGCGACGATATGATAGAACTTGGTGTGATCCCGTACCACGTTAGTCAGAGCAAACTGTGCTTCGGCCTGCGCGAACCACATCACGGGATCATTCTTCCAGAAATATGGAAGTTTGACTGCAACTCCAGCGGTAACAGCAGCGTTTTCCTCCGTCATTTTTGAATCTGCGATAGCGATCGGCTTTCGGTTTTCGTTGTTTTCCGCGTCGCGATATCACGTCGGGGTCACCAATGTGGGGACCGGAAGGAGAATTCCGCGATAGAATAAATCGAAAACGTTTGTGACTTTACAACGTGTTTATTTCTCCATGGTCCCAAACTTAGTAACTAAAATATATTATATTATAAATATATTTTAGAAGTTATCTAGTTTTGGGTTATCACTCAATACTCCTATGCGACTAGACTACCATACGTCGTGACCATGTTACAGTCGCTGATTATTCTGGATTATTCTGCTTATACCATTCCATGACATCCCTGATGTAATGACAACTGGCTAAGCCGGGCCAGAACTGTACGGGACCTTCGTGTGACTGAATGAATGGCAAAGTTCTCTTCTGGAGACATTCCTCCTTCTAAATTCGTCCATTCATAGTCTCTAGTGCTCTAGTGATGAAATCCTTTGTTTTCTTTCCACAACTACAGATGCCTTGCCAAATCATCAACTTGGGAGCGAATCTATCTGCAAAGGCCAATTTGAACTTACCCGGAGCATCTCCCTTGGCATGGAAAAATGTTTGACTCGGAATTTGTCTGAACCCAAGTAGCACAATTCTGTCCCAAAAAGTTGCAACAACTTGTTTATTACGGAAATAAGTCATATATAAGTATTGGAGACCAATTTATAACAAGGGTGCTACTAGGGAAGTCCATTTTCATGTAAGTGTATATGAATCCTGATGAAATTTTCACCAAAAACATGATTACAAGTAGTTAACAGTAGATTGGTACGTAGTATCAACGGTAGACTGCTTGACATGGCCTTCGTAAGCAACAGTAGCGATGTTGAATTGATCGAATCGCCATTCATGACCGTCATCACATACCGTTAGTTTTTCGTTTGGCCATACAAAGCTCTATAGAAAGTGATCCCGATATTTCAACAAACCACGATTTCGATTTCAATCGATGCGATTATGATGCCTGATGCTGAACTGGGATGATTTTTTTCTTGGTGCCAATGTCAACGCAGCAGTTACCACATTCTACCTCGTCGCTCGGACAATCAACCTTGGTGGAATGCTGAGCTTCGACACCGACGTAACATTCTTCGCACAGTTCGCAGCCGCTTTTTCCGTCATCGGACCGCAGAAAACTGGATTACTCTTCGTAGACTCGAAACTGCATACGAGGAATGAATTTCTTCCTCTTTCCGTGAGTATATCTTTCTAATCGTCTAAAGCGAAGCCTTCTTTTTTCTGGCGTTTTTTCAAAAACAGGAAAGTCTCTCAGTCGTTTCCAATGGAAATGACATTCGATGCCAGAACGAGTCACGACATTGTAGGTAGTCAAACTTTTTGCCAATTATTTCAAATCAGTGTACAATGCTGTCCTTCCGGCAGGCTCTCTGGAATTGTTAAATTCCCTCCCGTCATACGGGTTACACCCATACACAAGGCCGGAAACATTCATAGCGTTGAGAGTTACCAACCTTTTTCTATTCTTTGCTGTTTAGCAAAGAGGCTCGAGCTTTTGATTGACGATAGAATGTACTCTGCTGCAAAACCCATAATTTAACAATATTAGCATGGCACGTCTGATGACATACCGTATGCGTGATAATGTTTGCACCATCGTACAAATAAGGTTCCCGTTTCACCTGTGCATACAATGCCTTGGGTTTCTTTGCACCTATAGCTCATACCGTAGTAGGCTGTGTATAAAAGAAAATGATTTACTTAGTTTGACAGTTGTACCATGACGAAGTGGCAGCGTATTCGTGATTTGTCCCACGCGCAAATGTCGCAAAAAGACATTTCAATCGCCGTGGGAGTATCCCGGTGGGTTTAGACCGAGAAAAGAAAGGACAACTATCCATGAAGGTGGCCACAGGTCGTCCGAGGTCAGCTCGGGTTCCGAGGGTTACCTCTGCACTATCAAAAGGAAGATTCGGGCGAATCCAGTGCGTTTAATAAGAAAAATGGAAAATGCCAAAGGAACACGGTAAAAGACGTGGCCGACAAGCACAAGAACGTGTATCTGACCAAGAATCTTGCTAGCGTTATGGTGCTTGGATTGGTGGCTTCCGGTGGCAAAAAAAATTAACCCGGTGTTCATTCCAGAAGGCGACAAGGTCAACACGGAGGTCTACATCGGGATTTTAAGTAAGTATGTTCTTCCGTGGATCAAAGAACAGTACAGTCCGAAGCCAAATGCTGCATTTGTACAAGTTGGGGCTTCGTGCCACACCTTGAACCGCACTCAGAAGTGGTTGTTGGCAGGCTTGCAAATGCTCATTACAGCTAAAATTCTATTTTTCGTATTTATGAAGCTATTAGATGTTTTAATGTTAATTCTTATTTACAAGATGCAAAAAGAGAGGGTAAAGTATGTGTGTATAACACATAAAACCTGTCTATTAAGCTTTCAGAGGGTCACAATAGCAATTAGCTGTAACGATGAGCAATGCGATGAGCGAGAGATCAGCGATCATAAAATTGCTAATTGTGACCTTCTGAAAGCAAAATCGACAAATTTATAAGTCATACACAAACTTTACCACCCCTTCTTGCTTCTTACAAATAAAAATTATCATTATAGTATCCCATAATTTCACAATTACGAAAACTAGCATTTTAGCTGGTTGCAGGAACATCTTCCGTTTTGGGCGAAGGATATGTGGCAGCCATCCAGCCCCGATTTTAATCCGCTGGATTACTCAATATGGCGCGTAATGAAGGCCAGCAAGCCTCAGACAAACATTGACCCGTACCTGGAGAGAAATGGATCCAGACTACATTATTAAAGGGTGATACGGTCAAAATTTGGTCAAGGGAAAACGCGTGTAAATCGGTGAAATCGTTTATTTAAAAAATCAAATTAAATTTCTTTTTCAAGTTCAATTAGTATAAAATTCAGGAAAAATATTCAGTTAGGCTTCCGCTTTTCCAAATCCGAATTGCCGGGCCTTACGCTTGACCCCTGCCATCAGATTTTGTACAGCCACCTTGTCCACCTTCTTCGCCGCAGAAAGCCAGTTTGCCTTGAACTGCTGCTCGCCCTTAGCAGTTTTTTTGGTCTTCTTTAGGTTCCGCTTGACAATAGCCCAGTATTTCTCAATTGGGCGGAGCTCTGGCGTGTTGGGAGGGTTCTTGTCCTTGGGAACCACCTGCACGTTGTTGGTGGCGTACCACTCCATGGCCTTTTTACCGTAATGGCAAGATGCCAAATCCGACCAAAACAGTACGGAACAACCGTGTTTCTTCAGGAAAGGCAGCAGACGTTTATTCAAACACTCTTTCACGTAAATTTCTTGGTTGACAGTCCCGGAAGCTATGAAAATGCTGTTTTTCAAGCCACAGGTACAGATGGCTTGCCAAACCAGATATTTCTTTGCGAACTTTGACAGTTTCATGTGCTTGAAAACATCTTCTACCTTTCCCCTTCCTTTTGCCGTATAAAACTCCTGTCCCGGAAGCTGCTTGTAGTCGGCTTTGACGTAGGTTTCGTCGTCCATTACCAAGCAGTCAAACTTCGTCAGCATCGTCGTGTACAGCCTCCGGGATCGCGCTTTGGCCGTCGTATTTTGTTTATCATCGCGATTTGGAGTCACTACCTTCTTGTAAGTCGATAGTCCGGCTCGTTTTTTGGCTCGATGCACGGTTGTAGACGATACACCCAGCTTATTTGCGGCATCTCGGAGAGAGAGGTTAGGGTTTCGCTTGAAACTACCGGCAACTCTCTTTGTCGTCTCAGCGGCTTCCGGTTTTCGATTTCCCCCCGATCCAGACTTCCTGGCTGTCGACAAACGTTCCCCAAACACTTTAATTACATTTGTAACGGTTGATTTGGCAACTTTTAGCGATTTTGCCAACTTTGCGTGCGAGTAGCTCGGATTTTCGCGATGCGCGAGCAAAATTTTGATACGCTGCTCTTCTTGCTTGGACGGCATTTTGACAACTGAAGAGTGAATTCCAAAATCAAAATAGGAGCAACATTCTACACACACACACACCTTCAAAATGAGGGGTGTTCAGGTTTTTTAAATGCAAAATTGAAAGAAATACGTCAAGTTGATATTGACCAAATTTTGACCGTATCACCCTTTAGAACCTGCCGTGCATTGCGGAAGCGTGTGGAGGCCGTAATTGCAGCAAGTGGAAACTCTGAGAAACATCCCCCATTTGAATAAAAAAAAATCTAAAACGAAATTTTTGAGATTTTTTTTAATTTTGACATTGCTCAATGGTGCAAACATAGCGCTGCCAATATTTTCCTAGTCTTTTCCAAAGCATTTGTTAAAGTGCCTCATGACTCTAAGATAGCTCGTGGTTACTGTCATACCTACAAGAAAAATCCGCCTACGTTAAACTGAGATCCACCTAGTTAACTCGTTTTGCAACACCATCTGGCGTGCCACAGGGCAGCCACCTCGGGTCCTTGGTTGTTTATTCGTTAACGGCTTTAGCCTTCGGCTCCGCAAAGCTACAGCAAATGAGCCTGGACAAATAAACGGATTATAAAAAAAAAAACGGCTTTAGCCTCCGACTCAACTCACATCGTCTTATGTACGCCGACGATCTTAATATATTGATACCATTGCAAGTTGGTGTGTCTTAAACACGAAATGGAGATGGATGCGATGAAGCGTAAAATTATAAGTTTCAGCAGATAATGGCACTAGATTGGACCTGAGTTCCGTAATGTGTACGCATTGAAGAGTCTGTATTGTTCACTTGTTCGAAGTGTTCTTGAGTATGCTGTGCAAATCTGGACCCCTCAACACGAAACCAATATTGCCCGAATTGATAGAGTGCAACGTTGCATCATCTTGGAATGCTCGGCTCAGGTTGCTTCCCTACGAACATCAATGTCGATTGATAAGGCTGGAACCTCTGCGCTAACGGTGTACATCTTAAACGAATGTTTGTATTCGATATTCTAAGTAATCGGATTGACTGCCCTGATCCTCCGCAACCGGAAAACTTCGTTATT